GCACTGTAAGGCTTGTGTTATGGGATACTAGGGTAACGGATAGAATACATATACAGTACATATATAAGTATATTTATAAAGAAATACATATTAGACATCTATGACTGGAGTACAAACGCTCGTATTCATATCTCTCGAGTCGGCGACACCATGAAACCCGGCGTACAAACCACTCGACCACGGAGCTCGTCATTAATAGGCTGATGATGAAACTTATAACGATTTTTAAAAAACAAATTATTTTTCACTTAAAAACTCCACGTACTACAACAGTAAAGTAACAACAATTCACCTTACGAGTATAACTTTTTCCATAACAATAACTTTGAACGTAGTTTATGTAGGAAAACATCTTTTTTACGGGCTTAAAAGCCTAATTCTCAATTTTAGCGGGTCGCGTTATCTCACCGCGCCTACGAAGGCTTGCCGACCGTATACACACTACCTAACCTTACATTACGTAACAACATCGTGAATATTAAACTTCATCTGGAACTAACGGCCCTCCAAGCCTTGGGCGCGTTTTACGGTTAATACTTTATACCTCTATTCCGACCCAGCGAACTGTATTTAGATTTACTAGATTTCTGAAGCTTCCCTTTTTTTAGAAGATATATGAAAGCTTTATTAACCTACCTCGCTTCCTTTTAAGATCCCGTCCTGCGCCATCTTAACTAAGGCTCAGAAAAAAATATCATAAAAATTAAGTTATTTTCTGCTGTTAGAAATATCTATAGATGTCCTGTTACAGTAACAAAACACTAAATAATTTTAAGGTCGGGGAATTTTGAGTAAGCGGGGAATTGACTCAAACCAAAAATATAACCACTTATGTTGTTGATATTTTTTTTTTATATAACTACGAGTAGGTAGGCAAATGACTCTACCCCACCTGATGTTATGTGGTGATAAAGTCCAAACGCGAAGGTAGCTGGTACAGCAGTTATAAACTGTTACACCAAACATCCACACCTTGCCGGCCCGCAAAAATGCTTCTTCACGCCTCTCTTAAAGAACCCCAGATTATAAGAAGGAGGGACATGTGCGCGAGTAAAGAATTCCACTTACGAATAGTAAATAATAATAAATAATGTTGATAATATATGTCTACAATACTTGAGAGTTTATAGAGCTATTTTATTTATATCTGAATAAATATATAATATTAATAATAACAAAAGAAAAACTATTTAAATATTTGTCGGCTGAAAAAAACTCTACATTTGAAATCCCTAAAAAGGAAGTTAGATTCGAATTTTACTCGCAAAAAGTTGCCGATACGAAGAAAACACCTATTGAAGAGGGAGACTTCTAAAAATATGCCTTTACGAATGAAACATTACTAAACTGGGCTTAACACGTCTCCTGCCTGAAAATAAGACAGCAAATTTAATAAAATTTGCATTCTCTTTGCTTTAGCGAAAGCTACAACACTTTTTGTAATTGAATGCAATTTATTTTACTCACAAAATCTGTATTGTATACATTATTAAAGAGACGATCTATATGATCAACTATGTTTTATATCATTTGTGATTAGTTAATACTAGCAAACCAGTGAACCAAATGTTCACCAAAAAAAAAAAAAAGAAAAAAAAATGTATTTAATTAATTGAGAACTTCGGAGATTTTGTGTGGTTTCGTTTGAAATAGAAATCACGTGATTTCTCGAAAACCGGAGGTGCTACGTTACTCACATCCGGTTTGTAGTCTTATCAGACTATTCTTAACTTATAACTTAAACATTCTCTATATCTATCTCTTACGGTTTGGCCGCTGAAACAGCACCACGGACGGACGGACGGACTTGTCTAATAGATAAGAGATTCCGAGAAAAATATCTATTAATAAATTGATATACATTTTCCTAAATTAAGAGTTAAATCTTGGTATGATAATTGTGTGCTAACAAAACCTATATAATTTTAACTACATTTTTGTTAACATTGGTTTCTGTATAAAATGAAAACTTTAATTTACAAATGGTTTTCGGTTGAGCTAAAAACGATTGTAACAGTTTTATTGAAGTAAAATTCGTTACCACATTGTAGAAGTTGTACTCTAAGTAGTAAAGCTTTTTGAAAAGAGCTGAATTTGTTAGGTATACATTATTATTTGGACTATGCAACATCAAAAAAATGCGTATAAGCATATTATGATATAAAAATAAATGCGGTATCAAATAGTGTTATAAATAAATAAATATTTCCAACACTCACACCAATTAGCCTAGCCCCAAAGTAATCAATGTAAGGCTTGTGTTATGGGATACTAGGGTAACGGATAGAATACATATACTGTACATATATAAGTATATTTATATAGAAATACATATTAAACATACATGACTGAATTACAAATGCTCGTATTCATCACACAAACACCTGCCCCCACCAGGAGTCGAACCCGGGACCTCTCGAGTCGGCGACACCTTAAAACCCCGCGTACAAACCACTCGGCCACGGAGGTCGTCAAATGTTGACATTGAAACGTTAGTTTGGTGGTATTAAACGATAAGCAGTCGTAAGAAACTTACAGCCGCGTTTCGTTCCTATGAAAAATTCATAAGGAACAAAGGAGGAAGTAGGCTCCGGCAATCGATAGCGTCAGCTGATCCGCCCGCCCAATGTCACGACCGCGACCGTCAGGCCGACCGCTCGCCGCCCGCCGCCCTCCGCCCGCCGCGCGCCGCCCGCCCACGCGCGCACACACGCACACACGCACGCACGCACACCCCCCGCCCTGCACACACAGGACCCAGCACTAACACAAACACACACAGGACCCAGCTCTAACACAAGCAAACGGTTGCGTAATATTCCGCGTTCACAGATTCTTCAACGACCAGAACAATCCAAACCCTATTGAGGTGGTTCCAAATTGTTAGAATTAGACATTATGAATTCGTCGTATCATATTGAAATTTGCTCATTAAAGTCTTTATGTACTCTTTATCCGAGTTTCCGCTGGGCTTTTGCATTAGTGTACGGTACATATGTGCGTACACAGAATCGTATATAAAAACACACTAGTTTGCGTGAACAAATGTTCCTCACAAGCCATTAATATTTTATTCATGCGGGTCGGCTCACACCAATGATTTATTACAGTACTTTTCCAATTCCGAAATCTAGGATAATTAAGTTTGACTAAAGCCTAAATTAGTCATCATCACTCTTGTCAATGTTGGATGTTGTTTGAAATCGTTTCAAATCTGTGTTATATAAACGAATGGGGATATTATATTTTAAAATCGATATTTTTGTTTGATCGTCCATCACCCGTCACCCTATGTACCTCTTCAACTTTTACTTTCAAAAACCCTTTTGTGGCACATGACCGCTCGCGCAGATGTCCAGTCACACGGGTCCTTTCTGTCAAAATGTGCAATTCACGTCATTATCAGTATTAGCGTTAGCCCTCCAACGCACGTGGCGCATTCTGTCATCGTTTGCACAACTATAAATAATAATTCTCAAAATGGTTAATAATTTCTCATTGTGAGCGAATCAGCAATTCATCGAATATGACATTGTGTACGTACCACGGTTAACGTAAAAGAGAACACAGATGTAGTTATTATTAGAATTCATTGTGTTACAATTTTAGAAAAGTAGGTTTAATGAAAATATTAAATTACAAAAGTTTCTTTGGCTTTATAACAGGAAAAAAGACTAACTTATATTATTACTAAGCGAGCATGTGTATTTTAAATTTTTGCGGTCGGTCGGCGCATATCAAACGCAACCCTTCGTCAATGACACCGGGTCAGTGGGACCACGCAACGTCCTAAACAAACAATGCCGCAGATGCTTGCACACGTTGCGCAGATTTCACAAAAATCCTTTTTCCACGCAAAAATGGGTTGCGTTGCACCTTGCAGCACTGAATCGCTGCGTCATCCGCCACAACAATCGATAATCTCGACATGCATCTCATTCTAATGTGTGCTTACATCTCTTTCTTCTTTTGAATTCGCCCGGTCGGCTTTCCGGAGCTATTGACACTTTGAAATTAGAATGTCATGCGTGGGTGCGCAAACGCAAGCCTTTGTCAGCATTGTGTGCGCAATGGATTCGCAAACATGTGAGGGTTAATTATGACTACCGAAATATTTCCCTCCGCGTACAATAATCCTTTTGTTAACGCCCCTCGTCCGCTTTGTAACACATTCGATTTGAAACCGCACTTCACATGCCTTACACATACTACATATACGTACGCTGGCCAGCGTTTTGACTTACATAACATAACGTCCACGCATTAACATTTTAAAAGAGATGAGTGACAATCGCGCTCATCTCCAGAGTCCCTCCCAAGATACGCGCTTAGATTTTTTGGGATAAGGGTCGTCTTGAATGATGTGTATCGAATAAAATGTTATATCAAAAATTCGGTGAACAGATTTTTAGCTATTTAGGCATCAGAAAAGAATTCGTTTTTTATGAAAACTTTAACAAATACATACTTGAAATATCAACTTCAGTCTAAGGTGACTGTAAAAAAAATGTAACGTTTTTGGAACTTAACAGAAGCTAATTTAACCATTAAATATTGCATTTATGGTCCATCAAATAATTAACTTATATTTTGAATAACAAAGTGTATTATCTCAAACGTACTTACAATACGAACGCAACGTATTTTAAGCATAATTCAAATCTTGTTTTGTAATCATTCACATAGTATCCTTATACTTACAATCGCATTCATATGCAAACGAATATCGCAAAATCGATTCTAACTCACCTTTTGCATGGATTATGGTCTAACACCGACTGTGCACAAAGAGCGGTACAGTGGTCAGTCTATAAAGATGGTCCGATTAAGGAAGGGGTCCGTCACACTTTTGTTGCTCATTGTGATATTTTACTAATGGGACCACATTCCTCGCTGACCGGTAGACCTGATCCGGACCCTCGATGTCACGAGAACCCGTAGCTCATTATTTATAGTTAATTTATTATTATTTTGATACGCGGGATGAAAGGGTTGACACAATGGAGCGAATTCCGTGTTCCTATCCGTTGGTCAAGCGCTCGGCAACGCTGGGGTGAGACAGCTTTGTTTAATTTGCCACCTTGGGAATATGAATATGCAAAACATATTTTTTTAAACTCCCAAAGATGTATCTGCGAATTCAGTTGACCGAATAAACTTAACCCTCGAACTGTTTAAATAAGGAAATATACATCCTGTTGTCATTCCACAAAAATACTGTAGGTAATATTAATATTGATTAAAGTGGCTGTAGTGAGTATCAATAGAAATGGTGATCGGAGGCCGGGGTCGCCAAGGCCCGCGACGCTTCCCGGTTCCCAGCGCATTGTGCGCGCTGAAGGGTTCACAATGGACACAATGGGGTGTGGACAGCGCATTATAGCTCGCACCGGTCAAATGGTCACTCGTTTTAATACCAGCCATAGATTCAATGGACGAGGAAATGTATGAATAAACAGCTTTCTTTCTTGCCTCCTAGTTGTATGGACGATGTTGATTATATTATTTAAATGCCGGACAACCGTTATTCGTCAAACTTTTTTATTAAAGGGGCTGGACATGAGAAAGTTTTACGTTTCCGAACGACCTTTTTCCAATGTAAGTAGCGGTTTGTTAATTTTTTATCGTGAAGAAGCCTCATATTATTTAAAAGAGAATTTTTGTAAGCACTTGTCCCAATTAAGGTGTAATATATGTTGGGATGCGACCGACATCTGCATTGCAAATAAGAACAGCGCTCTGCACCGCTATGCTCAAAATAATCACATTAGAATGCAAAAAAAACGCAACCCTAAATAGCCCGCTGCCCTTTATGACCCAAGACGCAGCAATCTGCATAATCATAAATTAAATGTAACACCGCTGTGTTTTTGCATAACAATCGCGTCCGCTGACCATCAGATGCATTCCCACATGACAAAAACAGGTTGAATGCAAGTGCATCACAAAATTCGCCGTTTCTAACGGTGTTTCTCATCAAGCCATTGTCCGAGATGACCGTTTGGGTCTTAAGGACCCGGATTAGCGCATCTGCAGGGTTGCATGCAAATAGATTGTGCAACTCGGTGACCGTTAGATAGAGCACAATAGGTGATACTGAATTGCTTTTTTAAGGTTTGTAGTTGTACGAGTTCATCCCCCGTTTAATTTACTTAAACTTACATCTGTTGTGTCTTGATTAATTATGTAGGTTTGTGAAACAAATGCAAATCACGTATGCGCGGCGATGCAGAGGAAGTGTGTAAACTAACTTTGATACTTTTCTGCTGCTACAGTTATCGCAAGTATCAAAGGCATTCCGCAGCGAACACGTAGTGTACGTGATATTCATACGAAGTTTTTTTTCCATTTATTAGTGGCTGTGATATAGTTTCCGCTGGAGTGTTTTTATCGGTTCGTATTCTTAACGCAACTCGTCAATATTAGCTTTTTCGCGATTCAATTTCTTTTGATTTCTTGTACGGCTGTTATGTTTGAATGTCACGGTAATGCTCAACCGCTTCTTTCCTACAAGTTTTAATATGAATTTGCAACAAATGATCTTAATAAAAATTAAATTTGTAAGAGATCAGCTATTAAAACTTTCCTGTGCATATTATTGTTTTAAAATTGATTTAAAAAAATCGCTACAGAACACAGGTATAAATCAAGTTGTCATAAGTTAGTTGTATTTGTTTGAGGATTGCCAAAAAAGAAATGACGTTCTCAGAAATTAATAGCATTTGGGCGATTATAGCGGAAATCCGCATGATGTGCTATTGTACTAAGTCGGAGGAAGAAATTCAATAAATTTACTAGAGGTCAAAATGCCTATTCTAAATACGGTTAGGATGTTCTGATAAAACGATGGCACGTATATATTCACTACTTTTACGGTTTTGATTTTCATCTTAGTATGTTTTAATTATATTTATGTCGATTCGACATCGATATGATCGATATCAATAAAACTAAGACTAGGCTGTATGGGTATTGTTTCCTTTCCTTCCCTGAAAAGGCAGAACGTTAAAAAAGTATTGGTGTCGATTCTGGCATGATTCTCTAAAGCTTAACTTAAATTTGACAACAGTGCATCCTTTTCATTCTCTATACAGAATAAAAAGGAGAGACTGATGTTAAATTTAGTTTTAAGTTTAGAGAATCACGCCGGAATCGACACCAATGTCTACGTAAATATAATAATTTGTTTTATAATCCTACCCAAGTTTTTAATTCATGCTCCAGACAGTGATGATAATAACAAGATTAATTCTGCCAAAATTTACCGCCTTTTTTAGCACTACAAAAAAAACTTCAATCTTCAATGGAATTTCTATTCCCTTCATAAAAAAAAACAGTATTGATTTATTATAAAAAAAAATTATTAAAATATTTGATTAGACTAGACTTTTTTATCCATCCTGATATATTAAGTAAGACAAAAAAATCCTAGTAAAATTTTCATCGGCAGAAATACGAACAAACTTATTAATGTATATAACTTAGACAGTGGATAGACAAAATCGCTTATATGCCACTTTAGTTGAAAATGAGTTAGGTATTAGCTCGATGGCGCAAGTGGTTAGCGCGTTCGGCTGCGATCGTTGAAGTTAAGCAACTTTCGCAGTGGTCGGTCATTGGATGGGTGACCAAAAATTTACCTCGAGCTCCTCCGTGCTTCGGAAGGCACGTTAAGCCGTTGGTCCCGGCTGCATCCGCAGTCGTTAACACCCACCAATCCGCATTGGGCCCGCGTGGTGGGTCATGGCCATATCTCCCTATTCCAGCCATAGGGAAGGCCTGTGCCCCAGCAGTGGGGACATTAATAGGCTGATGATGATGATGATATATATAATGTTAATTTGATTTTTTTCTGCGTCGATCTGTTTATATTTCGTGAAGTTTAGAGTAATCTTTTGGCGCTTAAGCAACTAAAAAAATTTTATTGTTCACAACGCTAATGCGACCATAAACTTTGTTGTTTTTTGAACCAATGGCGCTTACTGTTTGCTGTATGATTTGATAATCATAATCAAAATCATTTATTCAGTTTAGGCTGTTACAAGCACTCATGAATGTCTAGAAGCTACGCCATCGGTTCGTAAATCTACGGCGGGAGACCTTGTACTGAGAAGAACCGGCAAGAAACTCAGCAAGGGCTGTTTTTTTCTCCCTGTTTTATTATTTACAAATAATGATGTTAATCACTGTTAATCAAATCATGCAGCAAATATTAAGCGTACTCCCTATTCCATCATAGGGAAGGCCTGTGCCCCAGCAGTGGGGACATTCTTATTCTTATTCTTTCTTTATTGCATGCCACAGATAGTACAAAAAACAACATTATCATATCCTGTACAAACATGTGACACCCTGCAAGGGCGTTGCAATTTTACTTAAATTATTATTATTATTTAAACAAACAATCAAATATATTATAAAAAAATTCAATTCAATTATTAAACATACATCATACCAAAATTAAAATTAAGAAATACATATATTTTACAATTTAAAAACTATAGATAATAATGTACAATTTTCACACTCACAATTTTTAATATAATATAGAGGTATGTCATGAAATTTAATATTTTTTTTTATTACTTCATTAAAATTATTTATCAAATATGTTTATCTTGGAAAAATTCAAAAAATATATTATAATATGATTTATTAATAAGATATTCCTTTAGACATTTTTCAAAAATTGTATCGTTTTCCAAATTTTTAATATTGTTGGGTATGTGATTATAAATTTCAATTATCATGGACATTAATAGGCTGATGATGATGATGATGATTATAGTTCATGTTGACTGAATATCGGTTCTCCCACCAGGGTCCCTGCCCCCCTCGCCGGCGGACAGCGGCGTGTCAGACGTGGAGTCGTCCTCCTCAGGCGCCGGGTCAGCGGAGGAGCTGAAGGCGCGCCTGCAACCGCCTCCCGCGCCCTTCCACGCGCCCTTCCTACCCTTCTACCCTCACCACCAGATCGCCACCTCGCTGCAGCAGCACGCGCATCCAAGGCCTGCAGGTCAGTACCTACCTACTTCTCATCAAAGCTTGAAACCGGTTTCGAAAATACCGGTAAATAAAGGTTAATACCGGTTTTTAGTAAAGGTTTCGTTCGGAGCGCGTCCGAAATGAAAGCGGTACCTAAAACCTTAATAAACCAGTTTAATCCAGAGAGACACGCGCACGCGTCGGCATCGCTTGAAGTTTGTTTTGTTTGAACTAATCAAGTCACAACTTGTCGAAGCAGAGATATTGGTGTATTTATTGACACGTTTGCTAGCATTTAGTGAGTCAAGTTATTCATTTATTATCGATGCCGTCATAAAGAGCGAAATGAAACCCTTAAAAACCGCTAAATTGATTCAAAACCTATTTGATTGCGCTCTTTGGGAAAACCGGTTTTTTAAGGTTAAGGTAGAGCCAAACCTAAATAAAGCGCTCCTGATGTACTTGACACTGATTTAAGTTTGAAAATTAACCGGTAAACAAGCCCTGCTTCTCAGATCTTTACATTTTACAATAAAATCTAAAAAAGTTCGACAATATACTTGACCCTGTCTGATGTTAAGTGATGGTCGAGGCAAGACAAGAAGATAGCTGGGGCATCAGTTTTACCTGCCACATCAGCTATCTTCACCTTGCTTGCATCATGATGCTTCTTCGCGCCACATTTAAAGAAACATGGGAGCGGGCAAGTGGAGCCACGAGATGGGGCATAGCATTCATTTAGGTACACAGCATTAAACAAAGTCGCCCCCGCTGTCTGTACACTTCAGCAATAGATAGAGTGATTCAAGGTGAAGCTTTGTTTTATATGTATAATACGTACCCGAAAACAAAAACTATAGTTTAGATTAATACTTCTTCGTGTAGTACAGTTTAGTAAAGCATACGAACTTTTTATTATATTAAAAATAAAATAAAGAAAAACCGAGCATTTTGTAATTTATATTCAAAATAGGACACACCTTACGCTTACATAAAAATTACATCAGTTTCTATCATATCTTTCAAAGCACTTTTGATTATTAACTCTCTATCGTTTTCATCAATAACTTACATATGGGTCTTAAATGATAATGTAAAACATATCCACTAAATAAAAAAATACATACTAGAACAATAAACCTAAAACTAAAAACCTATTTAAAATACCTATATTTATTATATTAAAATATGGGCCTTCGATTTTACTATCGAGGAAATGCGGTTAAGTTTTGTGTGATCCCACCATAAAGTGTTAATAATATATTTGAATGAATGAATAATTCGGTGTGGAACTTGTCAACAAAATATACCACCATTTTCCTTATGACTCTTTAGAACTTGCGTATAACAAAAATTACTCTACAAGACATCACTACAATTAGCAATGTCTAATCTATAAATCTCTAAATTTACGTATTCACAAGACCTTCGAACCCTTATCAATTTCTCGACGAGCAATAAATATCATATCCAAATCAACCATGGCCGAACAATAAAAACGTTTACACGCGTTACAAGAAAAAAATGCTTATTGCATAAAAATAGTGGAATAGTCTGCGTCTGTAGGTGACCCGGTGAACGGCCACCCGGAAGGTCACCTACAACCCTGGCAAATCGCAGACGTATCGTGCACTCATGCGCCAGCGCATATAAACATACGTCTTCGAATCAGCCTCTTTACGACTGGCTTGCAATGGAGTCAAAACCGATGGCAAATAGTCCATATAACATGTTACTTTCTTTCCTCTGTTGAAACAGATGTCTTTCAAAGGTCTACCATTCAGGGCATTACATCATTTTATATTGCATTTTCTCTCCTTTGAGACTTACCTAAGTATGTATTTAAAATTAAAGTTCCTACTTTAATATATGTATCTATATATATAAAACTCAAAGGTGACTGACTGACATAGTGATCTGTCAACGCACAGCCTAAACCACTGGACGGATCGGGCTGAAAGGCATGCAGCTAGATGTTATGACGTAGGCATCCGCTAAGAAAGGATTTTGATCAATTCTACCCCCAAGGGGATAAAATAGGGAATGAAAATTTGTATGAAACTTTGTCATTTTTAAACCGATCGGGCTGAGACTTGCATGCAGGTATAAGAAGAATCATAGATGAATGTCATTGTGTATAATACAAGCCTGAGAACAAAAACTGTAGTCTACACTTCAGCTCTACACCGAAGCGAAGCGAGGGCGGGCCGCTAGTGTTAATATAATAAAAAACAGTTATGACGCTACCACTTTCGAGTGACAGTGGAGACGTTATCTATATTTATGCAGCGTAAAGCATTATCAGAGCTTCCGGGGGCTGCAGCCTGGCCGCCAGCCAATTGGCCTTCTTTCGAAACTTCAAATGTCCCGTTAAATGCACAAATAATTTTTATAATTCAAAAATAATTTGTTGCTATTTGCAAGAGAGAAAAACACGCGGCATTCCAATATTACTCGGCATTCGCTTCCATTATTCGCGTTGAAAACAAGACGATTTATATTCAAACACGCCTGGAATAACTACTCCAACGTCTGAATTTGAAGAAATGTATGGAAAAACAGCATAATGAAATAAACGAATGTTTTAAACGCTAACATAACATAATTTAGACGCTAACATACGATAAAGCTTGCACGGGAAGCACAATGTAGTCATCGATGTTTACGGAAAAACTCGCGGATATATTGTGTTAATTGGTATTCATACCTTAAAGTTGAGAGTGTAAAAAATTGGCACATCGGAACGCTAAGCCGAACAGGTAGGTAGGTGCCCAGAGGTTCCCGTGACATAAAAACAAAAAATGCGCGGAACCAGTTGGCAGGGTAGTGGCGCGCGGGCGCCGCCAACTTGGCTCCAACGCAGTCCTCAGCCATTTGACATTGCGCAAGGTCAGTGCTCTTAATTTAAAGATGCAAAAAACTAGTGACAAGCGACGCATGCGCAACGCGTCGCCGCCGACCGCCACCCGTCGCGCATGCGAAACGGGCACTTTCGATTGCGCTGCATTTTAATGCCAGTCCCGGACCCTTTGTTTTTCAATGGGATAGAAGAACTGATAAGAAATTCTAATAAGACTATTTGTCAGAAATGCGTTGGCATAAAAATGCAATCTGAAATCAACAAATAAGGAAACCGTGTATTATGGCCTCATTCAGCTAACTGCTCGGTAAAGCTTCAAAAATATGGCGGAGCCGGTAGGCGCGTAGCTGGCGTAATAGCACACACGAAATTTCGGTGTTGCAAACGTGTGGATTGGGCAACGCCTCGCCATTGTCAGGCTGGCGAAACCGCGGCCTTCCTCGCGGGCCACTCGAAACCTGATTGTGGGGGTACTGCCCGTCAGTTGCTCCATTGCACTACTGTGGACTGTGGGATATATGGCCACGGCTCTTTGTTCGCAATGTCACAATTTAAAGATGTTGCATTCACTGCGATCTGCCGGAGAGATGGCGTTAATTAAAATGTAATTCAGTCAGTTTCCCCTAAGGGATTTGAAGCGGATGTCCTTATAAAATTCAAAATTCAATATCGTTTATTCAGTCTAGGCTGTTACAAGCACTTGTGAATGTCGAAAAGCTACGCCATCGGTTCGCAAATCTACGGCGGGAGACCTTGTACTGAGAAGAACCGGCAAGAAACTGAGCAAGGGCTGCTTTTTTCTCCCTGTTTTATTTCATACAGTGTCGTCCAATTGAAAGCTGACATCAAACTTGCAAACATGTGTTGTAACAATAGACAATCAACGAATTTCCTAACAATAAGTGCAATAATACATATAAGACGTAGTTGTTCTTGTTGTTGGCGAAGCTGAAGTTACATATAAATGCGCATACTAGGTAATCAAATGAGACAGCCTTGAGTGTAGTGTGATCGTTAGTTTCGTTAGCACAAAGAATTTGTGTGTGAGAACATCTGCATGACGAAGGCGTAGTAAACGAATAGGTGGTTGATGCGTGATGCGGGCGTCGGTTTGTTTTGTTTTGTGACGGATCGGCTGAAACATTCGCCGGGCGCGCGGCAAACACACCATGACTCCTCGCTCGTAACCACGCTTGTAGCCGAGGCTTTCAAACACGCGCGACTTTTCGGCTGCATCCGTTTCCCCATATTGCCGAACACACTATACCTGCTGCATCTTTCATGTAAATCATGATAATGAAATAAAAATAATGCGAACATGCAAATTAATTGAAACTAATAAAATATTATGCTTAGTAGTAGGTACCTTGATAATATCCGATTTGGGACCTAACTTTCCATCCAGGTGTGCGTTCAAAACACTTCCATAATAACTCCAAAATTGCCCATGTATTCTAAGCTTCTTCAAATGCAGAATAGAGACTGAACATCTAACAAAAACAGAAGATAGGTTCATAAATATGTAATTATAATTTTGAAACCAGCTTTTCGAAAACATTTTAAAAGAGAAAAACGCATAATTCTTTGAATCTTCAGGTATTCGCCGGTCTTTAAAATGGTGGCGCCACAGTCGCACACCTACGTGACATTCGCAAACGAAATGGAAATTAAAATGATCCGCGCGTCTATTCCGATGCAGCGAGGCGCGCGCGCGCAGGGTGATCGGCCGGTTTCAAGGGCACTGCAACTAGCGCTGCTCCTATATTAATAGTTGAGTATTTTCGCCGCGGCTGCCGGGGGACCGGAACGTTATTATTGACATTCGCGAACCACCGAAACGACACACCTTACATCACAAGCGGCCGCGATAGCGCGTCACGCCTTTCCTGTTTTTAACGCATCCCTTTGATCTGTTCAACTCAGGTCATTTTATAGCTGCTTAACCGCTTCCTCAAAATGAGAACGTAAACAGGCTGATTCTCTAAAAAAAATAAATCGGTAACCTGAAAATGTTCGACGCTCGAATTTAACAACGCGGCTGTTTCTCATCGGAGTGTGCCGATTCACGTTGACGTAAAGGCAAAAACTGTTACCCACTTTCTATGGTATGGCCGAAGAATGTATCGCGATGTGACGTAAGGACGAAGTAGGCTTTGCGGTTAGAGGTTTATCGGAATATATAACACATAAATGTACTATTAGAAAACGCATATCTGCTCCTTACGCAGTTTTAAAAGCTTGATTGCAATTACCGCTGTAACTTCTTTCAACAGTTGCACATCACAGTAAGACAACGTGCACGTCAACGATAAAACGTCGAGCACATAGACAAACAATTGAAAGGTTTATTTGTGCATTAGCAGTGAAGCGTCGCCGTATAAGGAAGACGCGTCCCGCACCATCTGTCGCACAGTGCGCTTGCGCAACACCGGCGACCCAGTTGCGTTCGCGGCCGCTGCCAAGCGCGGCTCTACTCCTCTACAATTACATATTTCGGTGTTGCAATCGCACGGTCGCATCCGAGTTGAACGGCCCGACCTTGGGCGTTGCGCAGCGCACGCGCCGAAAGCGAAAGGATCGCGGTTCCAGAATCTGCAAACCCATGAATGGGAGAAAACCTGGCGTACGTGACCTAGGTCCCGTCGCACATTGATAACTTTCAGCCAAACCGCAATTAATCAACACCATTTAAAGTGATTCATTGACAGAATCAGCTACGGTTCCGCAGCCGTGCGTCACCTTCGCGCTAGACCTCTCGCGGTTTCCCAGTACGCAAACAATTTCCCAACACAACAACGCGCCATGGCGCAACCGCCGCTATCTTCCCGCTTCCGATATATACGGATAGTGCTAACGCGAGAAAAATTAACCGCGACCCAATTCCGAGCGACGGACGCTCGTGTCGCCGCTCCACTTGTCCGGAAACCTCGCATCTTTTACGATAGGCATAAAAAGGGGCGCCGCACTCCAGCCGGCCTACATACGCGCACCACTGGTTTCCCGTTTTAAAATTACCCGCTCGTTCGCGGCGGAGCGGCAAAAGGCTCGCCCTTCACGGGCTGCGGTCCCCGGTCCTCAAATAGCCGGCGATGCTGCCACAGCCAGATCGATCAGCGGCGTAGAGGAGATCGCAGCGCCTCACGATCCTTGTGTTTATGCGACGCAGCTAACCGGGTCAGTGTTAGGCCGAATAGCACTGCATAAATAGCCGTCTCCCGCGCCTGCACTCGGCGTGATGGAAGCGATATAAAATAGTTAGGTTTCGCAATATGTTTACGCGCTCCACGCGCCCGCTGCCAAACACTCGAATTCCAGAGAGAGGTAGTCTTGCAAAACATCGTCTTTAATATAACGCCCGGCCCGTGTCAATGTTGCCGGCCGCTAGCCGTGAGAATATGGGACGTGACGGTTTAATTTAGCTAGCGGACGTAGGACGACGCGGTCGCACGGTGACATACGATTGCGCCCTTCGTTCACGCCGCTATTGGAAAACAGCGGAGGCTAGCATGCGACGCACCCTTGTTTTGATTACGTGCGCCGGTGGCTCTTTGTTGGGTGACAATGCGATAGATAATAGTGAAAAAAGTCGTTCCGGCCTGATTGCGGCGCGCAGTCAGGGTCGCGTTAGGCAACCTGTGGAAATCGCGCCTTGACCGCGACGGCCGCCCCTCAACCCGTTTTTGCACTTCTAGAATATTCGGTGCTGGCCGTGGCGGCACTAGACGAGGGTAAGCCGGCATCGGTCCCATCTCCAAACCCTGACTGATCAAAAAATGTTACATCAGAAACGGCATCACTGCTTGCGGATTACAAAGAGGCTTAATATTTTAATGGTGATTTTTAGGTCGCAGACAGACAGGACAGATAAATTCTACGAGTCATCAGATTATTATAAATAGTAACCACAAACTTATTGTTTGTGCCCGCCTTGCCTTTTGAATTCTAAAACTATAACCGTATTACCTTAGTGCTCTGACTGGTAATAACATAACACTCTTCAATAATAATTTCTGAGTTTCAGTTAATGATTAAAGAGCATATTACATGAACAAGTATTCAGGCCGGATCTTAAACAGGAAATCCACTTAAAGATGAGCGGAAGCGAGAATACCTAGGTACACGCAAGCGATCACATCAGCCCTTGCACTTCACTCAAAGTATTATATAGTTGGTTATGCTACTACCGCCAATGTTATTAAATCAAATACTGCAAAATCAGTAATACCCTCCTACGCGTTTTATATGCGCCCTTACTTCCACCATTCCATCTTCGAGTGACTTTCCTATTAAAAAAATTGAACAATATTGTCATTTCAGTGTACTTACCTACAATATTACGCAGAAAAAGACTTTTGTTTACTAGTATTTATATATATATATACTCTCGTTTTGTTATGATTAATATGATTCAGAACTTTATTTCTAAGTTTAAAAATTTTATCTCAGTCATTTTAAATAAGTAAGGGCTGATTTCTCGAACACTGAATAGAATTCATCTGTCTGATATCGTATTTCATGGCGTAGCTTCTTGACCTTCACAAGTGCTTGTAACAGCCTAGACTGAATAAATGACATTTCATTTCATGGAGAAAATAAAGAGTTGACTGGTGATAATTCGTTTAATATGACGGATGACATCTCTCTCTATTTGATTGAGTATTAATTTATTAAACAGTTAAGTTAAATCAGAGTTTTAAAAAATCGGGCCTAAGTAAAGTACTAAATAGGTACATAGCGATTATAATTGTATCCTTTTAATTCTTTGAGTTCTGCTATTACGATAACATTTGCATATTATACAGCGAAGCGTACTTATTATCTCCACTTACGTGGGGTCGGAACTCACTCATTCGTCGAGGGTCGTCGAAAAACATAATGTTAGCAGCCACCCTTTAAAAGAATACATATTTTTCAGTTATAATTTTAATTTTTTAAGCATGTAACTGCTTGATGTTTAAATCTAAAGAAAATATAACTAGAAAAAATTCCACGCGGACCAGGCAGCAGACGGGACTCGAACACGCACCCTTCGCAATCCGGGCGAATGCACTGACCAATTATGTGGGTTACCTACAATGCGAAGAAATGGCGCTGCCTTGCAGCTTAAGAATGGCTAGAGGAATTTCCACGCGGCCTTCAGAGCGGCGGTAGCATAATTGGTCAGTGCATTCGCCCGGATTGCGAAGGGTGCGGCTTCGAGTCCCGTCTGCTGCCTGGACCGCGTGGACTTTCTTTTTCTGGTTGTTTTCTAGTCATATTCATACAAAAAATATTTGCGTCTCTATATTTTTCCTTAATGTTTCAAAGAACCTAAGTATTTGTCATTGAAACTAACCTATCGTATAGCAAGTTAACTTAGGTGCCTATTTAAATTTATCTTTTATTTATTATCGACCAATCGGACATGACAAACAGACCGAGACCAATGGTAAGCACATTGTGATGTTAAAATTATACATAATACATGTGCATTTAAAGAGTTTCGTCTAGAAATAACAAAATGCCTCTTGGTCGGTCAATAGCCTTATGTCCGGACACGTATACTTCACGCACTGGGCTCGACACGACATAACAAACATGTTAAATAACGTAAAAATGTCTAAATTAAGGGTTAATGACAATATCTCTACTCTCACTCTTTCATCTATTTGCACTACAAAGACCAAAAACCTAGCAGAAGAAGAGGAATTTCGCAAGGCGCTACACTAGGTTAAGTCATATTCTTTGTATGTACTTTGAAATTTAACCAGAATTTCTTCATTATTATCATCTGTCTCTTTGAATTATACCCACTTCATAATGTGCTTACAAACCTATTGTTACGCACCTATCTGTATACATATGCGGTGACCCGCCAATTAAGATTCATCGATGCCGGAAATTTTATTATAATTCCATGATTAATCGTACCAGTTTACATAAATTAAAGTGATCAACTACAAAATTTGCTTACCAATCAGGGACAAGGAATACCTTCAACAGACTAACAAAGAAAATAGAATATGCCAAAAACTACTCGAAAATTGCAGCAACGAAATCAACAGTGCAACTCATATAATTTACTCACTGCCAGATATTGCAAATATTCATGTTTCGAATTATACATGCAGTTTTGATTCACTCCCGGAAAGAAGGCCACTGACCGACATAAAAAAAACGACATACGAACGCAATCATATTACACAACATACACGACAATACGACTGTATTTACGAGCCACATTCATTCTATACTCCTTTAAAACAACTTTACTGAGGAAACGTCTCTTTTTTTTTTATTAAAATTCATTAGTATAACTATCTTTTCCATGCAAAACGTAAGCATACTTAATATTATGTTACGCTTACGAAAGCAATGTTCAATGAAAGTGTACGTAAAATATCTTTTAGATCATAAATGACGTCGATGTCTAATGCAAAAAAACATTAGAAGGAAACAAGAAAAAGAAACAACTTTAAATTCAGTAACTTAACCCTTTTAGGGCAACGAATCACGGATGATCTCGTAGAAAACCCCGCCAATAACTCCCTCGACGGCCACAAAGGATACAATAAGTGAGATTGATCCAAAATGGCGTCCTGTAAGAAAGTGCAGGAATTCGCGGGCGCGGGCGCGAGCGCGGGCGGCGCGGGGGTGACCTTCGCGCGTTGATGCAATGTCGCAGTGTCATTGACCACGCTGCGCTGCGCCGCGCAAACAGTTGCAGCGCCCCACCCCACCCGGCCCTACCCCGCCGCACCGCCCGTCTATTACCCCCTCCCCGCCCGCTAAGCACTGCACAAACTTTTGCCCGCTTACCACAAAGCACTTACACGAAAATAGACGCGATGCAAGCCGCTTATTATAATATTCCAGCTAATCCGCAGAAATATGTACCTACAGCACATATTATATCTGTTCTCACATATGATACAAGATACTATGAAATTTTAACATAATCTCTTTGAAAAATAAACAATATCCCATTTTCGCGTCTAACCTACCTCTATATATAACATGATTAAAAAAAATACGGACCTTTCTCTGTCTGAATTCCTACGTTTATATCATCCGCAGCTGTGTTCTAATATCAGTTAAAACGAATGTCAAGAAAACGGAATTAGTTCGTCTCTATTTGTAATGAAAAAGGATGAAGCAATCTTCATGGAGACCATTTAATGTCATGGCAACAATGTACTTACTTCATGCAACCCCGCAACACGATACATCTTCGGTGATTAGGTACTCGTAGGTACATTTCCTCAAAGTCGCAAGTGCGTTAACATTACACGAATAACACTGAACAAAGTCATCTTACATCGATAGCTTGCAGGTCAAAATGGAATATTTATATCGAACACTCCAGTTACAACACTATTGATGCCTATTAGCAAAAATGGGGGCGCTAGTTTCTTCACGAGACCACGTCGGAAAAAGTTCCTTATTTACAGCAACGCGATTACATTATCGCCTGTTCTTGTTTATTTAAATTTATATGCGATATATTCTTTGGGTTGCATACGTTTACGTAAGCGGGGTGCACGAACTCGGTCGCAGATCACCTTCACCGCGTCCCAAACCGCGGGTTGAGGTCGTACCGACAATAATTATAGTTATCGATTATATCGACAAACAATACGGATGACTTTCGAACGAAGGCGCGAAAGACGGCTGAGCGCCAATGTCAAAAGTACTTTGGAGTCACGGATTTGTCTCCGAGTCTGTCACATGCACTGTGAACAATTTTCAAATGTAACATTTTTATATGTATGTACGTAGGAAAAGACTTTATATTACCTACCATATTTTCGAACTAAACATAAAAGCAAAGATTTAAGACAAAAAGATTAAAAAATAAATCTATCCTCAGATTTTGCACTCACACGAGGTCACAGTGTTGAAAAGTACGCACCGTCTTATGATATTTCTACGGAAATATCTATACCTATTGTATTTATTTAACACTGATGTGATGACATAAGCGCAATAAAATTCATTGATTCAGACATTTCTTGTTGGAAACGGAGTGAGCTTGTGTCGTGACTGTCAGCCGTGAGGACTGGTCGTGCCACTAAACCTGACCTTCCGAGTTCAGCTGTCAGTTTCCCTTTACGAATATAAAGTCCAATATTCATGTAAATTCAGTTATTGTCTTCGAATCATGTCTGTTGCACGAGCATTGTTAACCTGCTTAAAAGATTGAAAGAATGCGAATTAAAGAAATCGCTTCGGTATCTTTTGCTGCGGTATTTTTCCAATGTGCAAAAATATAGGTAAGTTTGAGGTGATTAAACAAGAAACAACCGCATTTTCGTTATTGTTTTCCTGTGAGGAGATATCGAAAAGTGTTATCGCGTTTTGTAATTTGTTACTAAACACAATACTTATTATGTTAAACATAATTTTCTTTGAAATCCACCGTAAAGGTCATCAGTCTCTATATTTTTTTTTTCGGTTACGTTCTCCCTTTTCAGGGAAGGCAAGGGGAACAATGCCCATACAGCCTAGTCTTAAGTTAAATTATTCTGTTTTTCTTTTACATTAGAATGTCGGTGTGACGCATTCTAATGTTTCTTGAAGTGTTTGGCACGAAATGTATCGAGCTGGCTTTTTCGATAAGCTTCTGTGAGGTAGTCAATACTACAATAAAATTCTCACGTCCACTTGACCAGAATAGCGTATATTTTGACGATTCTACTAATTCTTCAGTTACGCAGACAGTTGTAACACAAAATCACAGCAATTTTAT